ATTCTAGAAATAAAAAATATGATGCATTTTAGAAAATTATGTAGATATAATTTTTTATATTATAAAATTTCCATATATATGGTAGTATCTGTACCCATAACTTTATAAGAATATACATAATCACATATTTCATACATTAAAGCTACTACAAGCTCTTTATTGTATTCTCAGAGATTTTGTAGTTCGATAGGAACAAAACAAAGCAATTTTCACTCTCTTGTATTCCTTTTTTTTCCAACTTGCTCTACACACGTGCATCTGATAGCTTTATTCAAGATATGATATACTATTTTCTGAGATTGTTTTCATATTCATTTTAACATTAGCGATATGAATCAGCATGTAGAACACACTTTCGTATTATTGCTTTGAATTATGGTTACAGATTTTATATCTCAGAAAAGAGAGAGATTTCGTCATTTTACATTAATTAACTATAAAAGTTTTCACTTTATTTTCCCGTTAGAAATTATGATAGTTATATGTTTTTATCTGCACGTATGTATAATATTTTCTTAATAAATAATATAATATTTTCAGAATTACACCGATTTATTTACTATATTTGTTATATAATTTTATTTTCTTCTTTAAAGAGAGATATATATTTTTCTTCATATAATTTGGAGTTTAGAGTATTTCTTCGAACCGATGTTTCAGTTTGATTAAAGTGTTAATTAATTTAATGTATATAAATGCATTGGCAAATATCCAGAGAACTTTAATTCTCGATGTTTTATTTACATGTATTAGGTGCTGTATGAAAGTTTTATGTCCATGATGTATATGATAGATATGCAAAGCATACGGATGAATGGATTTATGGGTTTCTCATAAAATATTTTACCTTATAGGATAGAAGTGGGATTAGTTTTAAAATTTCACTAGATCGCCTTTGATCGACTTACTTGTACTTTTGACTTTCGCCTTTCGCACGCCGAGCGATTCCAGTTTGATTGGACTAATCTTAAAAGTCAAATCAAGCAATTCGCGAGCACAAAAACTGTATAAGGCAACATTAATCTTCGCCCTCTGGCAAGATCATGAAAAAGAGGAAAATTGATGGTCGCGCGGGGATGCTGTTTGATGAGCATCACCACGCTCCTCGCCCAAAGTACCGTTTCATTATAAAAATCGACAAGGGAGAGGGCGAAATCTGCCGACCTCTACAATGATGTCGGCGATATAAAATCGATAATGTCATCTGAAGGCATCCGATGGCGTTAGTTATTTCTATATTATGGCCACCATTACGACGTGCTCCAGCTGGTACACGCATTTCTCGATCTCCTTCAGCAGAGGGAGGGCCCACTCATCGATATTCGATGCGTGACGGTATTTTTAATTAAGACCGGAGAGCTATTTATCATCGCCGAGGTCGGTCGAAGGATCTACGTAAAAGTCATTGATTAACTACTTTCAAATATGAGATCACGGCTGAAAATGATAACAATAGATTAATTGATTGCTGTGTATATGGAAAATATGCACAAGTTTGCTGGATTAAAATATTTTGATATCAAAGCTTTTAGATAAAAACCTCTCAATATATGTTTGCGAAGTTAAACGCGCATAATCTAAATTGAGTTTTATATTTATAAAAATACACTCATGTCATATTTAGGGAATTTATATATTTCCCATATGTGAGAAAGAGAGAGAGAGAAATAATTAAACATTTTTGTTATAGAGAGATGTAATAAACAAAATATTATTCTCGAAGTCTTCTTTTCCCTATTTCATCATTAATTCTCCAGTAAATTCATTCTTCAAGTCTTCTGACTAAACAAACTAATAAATTTTTATTTTAAAAAATTATCACAAAAGATATATAAATCTGTATATTAGAAGTCATATTTATTTATACAACGTATACTTAAGGGGGGGTGGTAGATAAATTTACGAGAAGCATGAATGAGTGGTCGGCGGCAAAGTATCAGGGATTTTACGTGTCATGAAAGAGCTTATTTCAACACGATTTATATCACAAGCGTAGGCGATCCAATAATTATTCAGAAACTGAGTTATTTCTTTATTATTTGTATGTTTCGTAAAATTTAGAATTAAATATTTAAAAATTATATCATAATTTCCAAATTTCTGTTTATCATTTTAATTTAAAATTGAACATGCATTTATAATTTTTAAAAATGATTATTGATTTACTTGTTTGAGCTCTCTTGTTTCAAACTGTTGATGCTATAAATACCATTTGATATGTCAAGGTTGTTATATATTTTTTATAGATTTAAAAACGTAATATTAATGAAAAAAATGATTTTACAATGAAGGAAGGAATTAATTAATTTATAAGGAATTTATAACTAGTCCGTTAATTTAAATGTTGTGAATCACAAAAGGAATCAAAAAGACAAATTAAAATCGATAATTTACGATAGATTAAACTATTAGAGCACGGTTCATAACTCTGCATATATTTTTAAAATATAATACATTTTTTATTCTTATTACTCTAATAACTGGCTCCCGCTCAATTTTTCGGCACCCGCAGAAAATTTTTTCCCATCACTCGTGAATCACTCTGAACCATTTAATCTTGATGGTCGATAGCCATGCGTTTCATCTGATGGTCGACACGATTGGCTCCCTTGAACACGACGCAATTCATGAAATTGGAAGCCGTGCATCTTCGTTCATTTATAGGCCGCACGTTGCTCTTACATTCTTTAAGCCGAGCATCATCGATAATTTCAGCACAGACTTAAATCGGCGCATCGATCATGAGTCTTTTTATAACATTTATGTGTTCTTCCTTTATTTATATCGATTACGTTTCTCTCTCTCCCCCCCCTCTCTCTCCTTTTATTTTTCTTATCGCAATATATTTATCAATACAATTTTTACCACTATTATTTGTTGTGCTTCTACAATATATTACACGCGCCAAAATGATACGATTGGCAGAAGATCAATAGAAGGAAGACGAACGATCTTTTCATCGTATTTCTGGAAAATTGAGTCTAAGAAGAGAGAGGTGAAACCATTTTCGTTTTATACAATGGGAACGAGGTCGCTGCAACTCCCTTAGGAATGCCACGTACGCCGGTAGCGATAAAAGCATTCCGCCAAGTGCGGCGATAGATACGGAAATAGGTATAACATAGCCCATTCCCTTGCTAGTAGCGATAATGAAATAATAGATAGTCGCAATTTTCGGATAACTGAGCTCTCGCGCCGCTTACGCCCGCAATATTTTCATCTGGCGTCTCGTTTTTTCCCTACCTGTCAACAGCCAATATCGATTACGGCTTACGACTGGCCAGTAAATATGTTCTAGTATTCATATCCCAGCAGGAATATATTGCCAATATTACCTTTACGATTATAATTGACCTGTCTACACTTTTCTTCATTCTTTCCAGTAAAAATATACCATTGGCAATATTATATTTAAAATTATAATTGAATCTGTCTACACTTTTCTTCATTTTTTTCTTCTCTCTGTGAATAACGTTATACGTTATAGTGTGCTGACTAAGCGTTTTTAAATTGTCATTATACTCCCTTCTTCCATACATATTTTATAGCATTACTCAGCACAGCCCTTAGTATGAAATTGGGTCATTTCGAATAGTTAACATCAAAGATATTGAAAATATATGTATATATAGATGTATATTTTCATACATATTTGCTATAGAAAATTCCCAATTCGAGAATTTACTAAATTGAGACTTTTTAATGTGGAATTTATTCAATTTTTAAAATCTGCTCAGAAAAGGCTTTTTTTTCTCTCTTAAATGCACAGATTTTCAGTGTCTACAGATTGTCAATTTTTCTATCAATAAACATCGGATTTGAAGATTCAATGTGACATAAGTTATCTTTTATTCATGATAAAATTGCAACCTTAATATGGAAATTATATATAAAGATAGATATATCGTCGTTTTTAAAATAACAAAAAAAATTAAAACGGATAGGAAAAAAATTTGATATTAAACTTACTAATATATATTTTAATAATTTTTATAAGATCGCATCTTTAGATAATTGCATTGTAGATTTACTATTTTGCTGAACTAACAAAGTTATTATCCTGTTTATTATTTTAATTAGCTCAACGATATACACTACATATTCTCGTTAATAAACGCTTTCTATCAAATTTTTTTTTTCAATATTATTAATGATATAAATTAATGGCATCAAAGTGAAATTGTATACAATTCGCATATCTCATTTAAAACGGATTTAATTGAGAAGATACATGTTGTTGCAATTAAATTTATTATCTGCATTAAATAGATTTTCTAAAGATAGAATATTTATGTTATATACAACACATGTGATATGAAACAGTGCAACAAAGATCTATTTAACAATTCTACTTAACTATAATTTAAATCAAATACTGTCTCTAGTATGTATGACTTTATTTTAAAGTCAGATACTTGATTATATGCAATGTAGTTAAGCATAAACTAAATTTTAATATATAGATATGTATTTTTTTTAATATTAAAGGAAAAAAATCATCACATATCGTAAAATGATATCTAAATTAATCATTTTAATATCATTAGAGGAAGAAATCTTGACTTAAAGAAATCGCTTTGACAAAGACCGAACATGTGTAAGAACTTTATACTGCAGTTTGAAACTTTCTAAACGACATTCTTCGAGATTCATGACACTGAAAGATTGCATTTCATCGTCATCAGTTTGTCGACATAAGAAAGCACCTATTTTTTCTTTGAAATTCCCGAGCTATAGAAATAAACCTTCGATTCTCTTTCGCGTGAAAATTATGACGTGCATTGAAACGAGGCGCGCTCGTATCGCAAACGACCGAGCTAGGCAGGAGTCGTTGCCATGCGCTAATCTCACGAAAGTCTTATAAGTATTCATTCGCGAAGTTATATAGCACCGTCGGCTCCGTCGTGTCGGAGCAAAGCGGATTGGGAGGACCCTAAAGGGTGGTATGCGGCTCGATCGAGGGCGGCTCGTATATAAGAGGAGCGCAACGAGGTGATATCTAGGTGGCGCAGTCGCAACGACGGCCGAAAAATCGATACTTATCGTGTACCGGCGAACGACGGGGTTGCCTTCCAGTACGCAGCTCGTGTGCACGAGGTAAACACGGCTCCAATCGGCAATCAGAATGGAATGACGCGTGAGAAGTGAGATCAACTCCGAGCCACCCCCGCAATCCGATTGTCAAGTGCAGCAGCATGGTACGTTAGCGCGAAAGAGTAGAAACGATGCGTGGATGCTGACGAGAATGCGATTTCGAATATTTGGAGCAGGTGGCGATGACCTGAGAATTCGAGAACCGCGCATCGGTTACATTGGATATTGCACGTTATGATATATCAGGCAAACTCGTCAACATCTGCAACATTGATAACGAGCTCATCCGCGTTTCATTATTTCGTAATAAATTTGCTTCTCTGGTGAATTATATTACGATACTTTTTTATCTTTATATGTGCAGTACGGTTTTGTGAATTACGCTCTCGAACTCTTAGTTGTGAAGACCTTTGACAACGAGACGTGGGAGACGATAAAGTAGGTAAAAACAATAGATGACTCATCTTCCTGTTATTTTTCTTTTATTCTTTTGTCTTGCACGTTTTTTCTTCCATATCTACGTGAACTTTCGCATGATCCATAGCATTTCACTCGGATATTATCAGACGAGCAATCAAGTGTTGACATGGATTAATTGTAGAAGATATATTGTAGATTGAATGATAAATAAAGTTTTATTATATATATATATATATATATATATATATATATATATATATATATGAGCCATGCAATACTAAATTATTTTTACGAATTTATTTTTACGATTTTAATTTATATCCAAATTTGTACGTGAAGATTAATATAATAAATTATGATTCTTCCTCATCCATTAATATTGGAAACTGATACAGATAAGAAGTTACACTTACATCTCTTTTTTCATCACTCGTATATATTATTGTTATCATCATGTTATAATCATATATGGTATTGTGTATGAGTCATGCTTAAAAATATTTAGAATAGATAATTTTATTTAAATTGTATTCTATTTTCTCGTTTTATTTTATAAAATTGAAAAATTAAAAAATTGTAAATAATTTTTTAAAAACAAAGAAATTTATTAAACAAATAAATGAGTTAACTATTCGATTAATCATCGCGCAAGTTTACTCCAATTTAAATAATGTGTTAATATCATTAATAATGTGTTAATATCAATTCTTGCAATTTTAAACTTGTTCTACTAATTATGTTTTTCCTTAAGTATTATAATAATATATATGAAACTAAAAATGTTCTAAAGTAATGTATTATTTATTTATCTTGAAATCCTACGAGAAGAACTAGAATATCATTTGAAAATATCTCTAAGAGAGTCAATCAATTTTCCTGCCCTAAATGAAGTTGAGCAATATAGTCGACAAAATTGGATTGAGAATAATATTAAGTAATATCGGAAGTATATCATCTGACTTTATAACAACATCATAATACAATTAGGAAGTCACTTATGACATTTAACTAAAAAGTAATTTAAAATATTATATTTAATAATATTACTTATAAAAAGAGATTGAACTTTTAATCTTGATGAAAATGAAACCTCGCGAATATAAATAATGTTAAAATTAGTAACTATTTTTATATTATTAATCCATGTATATATTATTAATATTATTTTAATTATCACTTGTTTGGCTCTCTGATCTTAATTGTTATTAACATTCCTCTATAAAAGTACTCTCTCTTTTGAATACCTAAAGAATATATAAGTTGCTTTGCGATATAAGTATTGCTGTAGCTATGAAAAGAGTAAGCCTTGAAAAGACGTTGAAGGAAGCTTTAAGTGATACTTGATATCCATATCAAAGAATAGCTGTGAATTTCCGATATGTAAATTAAATAGTAGCAAGCCCACACAAAAGTACTTACCAAATCGTTACGTTTAAGACTTTTTTCAAAAAGATTAAAAAAGTATGTAAATAAATTTCAGAATGTTACAAAATAATTAAAATAATTAAAAATTATAATAGAATGATAATCTATGTTAATATAAAATAATATCGAATATTTTTATAAAAATATTGGAAAAATCTTAAAATAATTAATTGAGTTTTATATTAATTGAGAATTATATTGTTTTATGGAATAGATTTCTTTTATCGAGATATTTGTCTTTTATCGAGATATTTTTATAATTGTATTGATGATTTAGAAAAGATGCGGCGGTTAATATGGAAGGACAGTTTCTGGTGCGACAAATTTATGATGACGAAATTACGTATAATCTGATATCTGCTGCTGTCAATAAACTTAGTACGTATGTTTTCATAGTCGCAACAATATGTGATATTATTGAATATTATTTATAACAGAGAAATTTATTTTATATATCTTATATTCTCTAGATATTCCTGCCAATGAAATACTTGAATTATTTGGCCGAATGTTTTTCGAGTTTTGCCAAGATTCCGGTTATGATAAGATTCTTCAAGTTCTTGGAGCAACACCTAGAGATTTTCTGCAGGTAAAAAGTTTGAAAATTATATTTATTATAGATCTCTCTTACAATTAGATTAGGTACGATTCGATGCGCTTAATCACTTACTAATTTATGCTATTACAGAAAGTAGACCTGATAATTCGTATCTTATCTTTATCTTGATCGCTAACTGATTTCACTTATATTTTAAATTCGCATTAGGTACAATCTTAATAATTGAATAGCTTGTTAAGTCGTACGTATTCCGCATCTGGTGTATATGTCATTATTTATCATGGAATCATTCGTTAAATTAGCCATAGATAGAGCCGGATATATTCTCTTTTTATATTCTGTATAAACACATTAGAAAATATCTTGTTATGAAAATTATCCGTATATTATTTTATATCCTTCTTATTTCAATATTCTGAAAATATTGTAGATAGATTTATAATTAAATGTAGGAAATTGAATATTAAAATTCAATAGAAATATTCTATTTTAATTCGTATTATTTTCCAGCGATTATGCTGAAAAAATAATTTAATTTTTCTTGATTATTTATCATATATAGAAGAGAATTATACAATTAAATTTAATATAAAAATAAAGAGAAATATATAGAAAGTAACTTTTAGTTCGCTATTTCAAAATTAATATTTAAGCAAGCGAGAAAGCTAATACAAATCTTTAGACACTGATGTACGTTATAAATTTACAGTACACTTCTTACATATAGAATTCGTATCTCTCGCTCTCCGTAGAGGGCTTGAGCGTCGTAAGTAGCATTTAATATTAATTTCGACTTTTATTCAAATCTTTTTGAGTCTAAAGTAGTCAAGTTCGGTACTTACGGAAAGCGAGAAGTATACTACAAGAAATGTACTGTAAGCATTTTATAGCACACGTGCATCAGTGAAAGTTTATATTGACCTTGCCTCATTGTTAGATAAAATGCAATATTAAATTCAATATTTCTTGGTTTTATAAATCATTATTATTATTTTGTTTTACACTTTGCAATATAATGAAAATTATCACAAATATACACACGTTATAAAAATGTTTCAAACATTAATATTAATTTTAATGCAATTATCTTTATTACTGCAAATATCTTTATTACTTTCTCTTTGATGTTTCGTTTACTTTAATATATTATTGTGCGATTTTAAAATTATTGCTAGAAATTTGCGCAATAAAAGATAACAATCTATTTAAATATATTTATATCAATTATATTGCTATGGTAGCGAGATTAATATTAATTGATGAAATGTACATTCCATGGCCATATTCAATATTGGAAACATGTATGTACATATTGGGTACATATGATGTCGGCATCATGTTGCAGAATTTGGATGCGCTTCATGATCATTTGGGTACGTTATATCCAGGCATGAGAGCACCTTCTTTTAGGTGTACAGAGAGACCCGAGGATGGCGCGCTTATTTTGCATTATTATTCAGACCGACCTGGTTTGGAACACATCGTTATTGGAATTGTTAAGGTATTCGATTTTTTATGGACTTTTTATATGATATAAATATGATTCGTTATACAAAATTTGAGAATTTTACAAAGTTTAATAATCTTTGAATATTTTTGAACAGTAATAAAACTATATGTATATTTAACACTCTGTAAAAAATTCTAAAGGATTTTATGTGAGAAAACGTAGCGATGATTTAATGAGAATTTCTTAGTCAATTAAATGGAAATATGAAAAAAAAATTTCTATTCTTTTTAGACAGTCGCGAAAAAATTGCATGGCACTGACGTTGACATGCAGATAGTGAAGACGAAAAGTGAATGCGATCACGTGCAGTTCCTCATAACTGATGCGTCAGGACCGGGAGTCGTAACAAACCCTATGATTGCTGAATTGGAAACATTATCCGTCGGTGAGTCATTACTTCAACGTAGAGAATCGATATAAATTATTTAACAATAAAATTATGATTTTAATAGATTGATATGCTTAAACGTAGCATATCTAATTATTTAAAAAAAGCATAGTTTTTACGAAAGAAAAGCAATAAAACAAAATTTAATAAATTGTCGTAGAACCAAGGGTCAGCCCGACAACGTTTTGTCGACTTTTTCCGTTCCATCTAATGTTCAATCGAGATCTTACAATAATTCAAACCGGATGTACCATAACACGTGTTATACCGCGCGTCTGCAGTGGTCATTGCAAACTAAGCGACATTCTCTTAACTGTGAGTTGACGCGCATAACACCGCAATATTTTTATTATAATGTGTGTATTGTGTCTATCTGTTGTTTTATTCGTCAATAATTTATCGTAATAAAACGTTGCAAAACGCGTACTTCGCGCGTGCCATTATTTTCTCCTGTTATGAACAATTATTTTAACTTTAATTAGTTTAACTTTTCTTTAACTTTCCCTAATTTCATTTTTTTTCACAAGCTGTCAAAATTTGCATGATTTGACAGC